CTCAGGAGCAGCCTCGCCTCGCCTGATCTTGCCCTGCCGTAACCCATCCCTTTCCCAACTCCCTGCTGCTCAGGCAGGTGCTCCTGCTGTCCTGCAGCCTTCCTCTGCCTCGTACGGGACCTCCTCGCATCCCCCAGCTGGGGAGGACAACCTCTGCGAATGCATTTGTAGATATTTTGCTCTTCCTGGTGTCATTGCTAAATTTCTCTCATCGACTGCTATCTTCATTTTTTTCTTTGATATTTCTCCCCCGTCCCACCACTTTGACTCATCTCTAGCCTGCCTATAACCCCTCATTTCTAGCTTCTACCCACTAAATGAGTTCTGATTCAGGGTTTGATACTAAACAACCCTCTCCATCCTTGTTGCACTATCCCAGATCTAATAGTCATATCATCCATTTGGCATTTCTGTCCTTTCTTTGAAAGTCTTCTGTAGTAATCCAGTGTCACTCAACCCCTCCATGATGGATCTTTATTGTCTGTTGTTGTCTCCTTTCAGGTTCTCCCTCTCCCACACCACACAATCTCTCCTGTGAACGCTCTCCTTGCAGTGGTGACTCAAGGGTCTACTTGTCTTTTGTGTTCTTTCTGGTAAGGACTATTGTCTAGCAATCAGATCACATATATTATGGTACACTTGCTTTTCCCACAGTCTTTCCCTCCTTACTTGATTGTGAGGAGCTGACTACTGTCCTTGAAACAGCAGGTGATGATCTTGGTGTTGTATCTGAGCCTGCTTATTTGAACTGTGTCCACATCTTGCCTCTGCCTTTTGCACAACACCAGTTCTGGCCTGTCTGCTTGGTCTGTTTCATGACTCTCAGCTGGTGTCTTGAGTGCTGGCTGGCATAGCCTCCTTCTAGATGTAGCAAAAGGCTCTTGAGGGGATGAGGATCATCTAAAACAATGCTACCCAAGCTATCTTCTCACTTTCTCTGATTACTCCTTTTCTTGTGCTTGGTGCACACTTAAAGTCTTGGGGTATGATTCAGTCTATCTAACAGTAGGCTGCTACGAGAGCCACCAAATCCAGCCTATTACTTTCTCCTCCACAGCGAGAGGAGGCACAGAGTCACCTGTGGAGATGGACAAGCCCAACTAAGATCAGAATTACTATACACAGGTAGCTGTCTTTCTCCCTCTCTCTGCTGCCTGCTACACCAGTAGTTAGGGGTGGCTGAACTTGGAACTCAAAGACTTCTCTTAGGTGACTACTATGACCTCCCAACTCTATTTTTTTCTGCTGGGTTGTTTTTTTTTCCTTTATGCAGACTCAAGAGGCTGATAGTATAAGGACAGTTATGAATTTTGATAATCATAAAAGATAGGAATTTTTTAAAAAATAGAAGCTAAAAGTGTACATAAACAGCTAGCTCACATCATAGTCCTTCCTAACAAAAGCTCTGTCAGGTCTGGGATGGTAAGTAGGGTTTTGGCTTTTTCCTGCAAGGCCTGAGATCTGCATAAGTGGGACCCATTTTCTTTTTCTGCTGTGTACAGCAGGCAGTGCCTAAGGAGTTAATGATTGCTATGGCTGATTTATAGGTAGTGTGTAACCAGCTGTTTCTGCCCTGAGCTCCTGGTTTGCCCCAGAACTGACTCTGCTGTTGCAAGGCTGACTGAAATATAGTTCATTTACCAATGAAGGGGTTCTTAAACTTACATTCAAACAAACCTTTTTGTTACAGTTTTTGATATTGCAGAACCTGCTGCTGCTGTTTTCTAATTTAGTGCTAGCCTGTTCCTCTCTGGAAGGGGAAATACATGCCCAGAATCAATTGGAGACCATGTAACAGTGGAGGTTGAAGTCCACCATAGGCAATGCAGGAAAAGTAAACAAGGTAGGGAAGACCTGAGGAGGCAGCTAATGTGCTCAGAAAAGCCCAGTTTTCTTGCAAAACCAAATTATGACTCCAGGCTTACAAAAGACAGATAAATCTCCTGACCCATCCCTTGAACTGGATTGGGCGTAGGCTGCATTTGGCTTACACCCCGTTGTAAGCTCGAGGTCTGGCATGTGCAAGGCTCTCAGCCAGCTGGAGAGCTGACGGGCACATCTCCCAAAGCGCAGAAGAAAATGAACATTAATATCGAAGCTGTGAGTCTTTCCTTTAATGGCTGTTGGCTGTATTCTTGAGTCAAATTAAAAAATAAGTAACATATTGAAAACAGCCTCTTTTAATAGTTCAAATGTTGGCCTTGTTGACAGATCAGTCACTTGCTCTGGCAGCGTGGTACGTTGTAATTTCTTACCTGGAGAAGTCAGCACCCACTAGGAAATGGCCAAAGTCGAAAGGTTTGCCTTCCACGTTCCAAGCCTGGAGGAGCTTGCTGGGGGTAAGTCATTCGGTGTGTAGCCTTTTACAAACTAAAACTGTAGTCTTCAAACTTAAAAGCTCTTTTCAGAACCTTTCTACAGCTAATACATGCAGAATGTCCCTGCTCTTAGCACACTGTGATGTACAGAAAAGCACTATTTTTCTATATGCTTTTATATCCTGAAAGCAAACTAGTTCTCCCCCTATCCCAAATGATATTTAAGCCCACAAACAGGCTCTCAAACCCTTTAAAACTGCTGTACTTGCAGATTTGTGCACGGGTTGTGAAAGTTTGACAATTACAGACGGAACTTATTTGTACTTACGGGATCATCTGACTTCCTCTAGCCTCCAGTATTTCTTTCTTTTTTAGGACCACTCAAAACACAGTACAGAAGATGCACCCACTAAGGGGTTTTGGTTTGTTTGGGTTGTTTGGGATTTTTTTTGCTTTCAGAGGGGTCCTCAAATTCAGTCTGCCACTCTCCCAAATTTGTGTCAGTTTGACATTTCCATGCTTTGAGAAGTGTGGCCCCAGCAGTGGTTCTCAGTGCTTCCCTCACTCCGCAGCTGTCAGGCCGGGGCAGTAGGCCAGGGCTGCTATAGACCTGTGGGCTAAGCAGAGAACAGCCTGGACTTGCAGCCAAACAGATTAAAAAAGTAGCAGAAAAGATGGGTCACAGAACAGAATTTTCCTCTTCTTCCCCCCCCCCCCCCCGCCATCTGTTCTGAGGACCTTCTGTAAGCTATGAACTTTGTTGTTTAGCTCGAGTATAATTTGAGAAATGCCCTTTTCTTGTCCTGTTCCACTTACCAGAAGGTACTGAGATGTATTTAGAAACCTGCCAAGTACTTTCTACTGACCCTTCTGGTCAACAGTTTGGTAAATGTGCTCCCGAGAAGTAAAGTATGGCTGAAATCCTGACTGGAGGAAACAAAGGCACAGGGAAGTCTTATGAGTAAATAAGGAACTGCCTGATTTGAGATCATAGACTGGATTTTGTGTTCCTTAGTTTGAGATTTCTGTCAAAGCAGACCCCCAGCCATGAAAGAATTTGGACCTTTTAAGATGGTATTTGAAGCAGTGTATGTGAAGGCAATCCCACACTCAATTAAGGTTTGGAAGTTGTTTCTGAACAGTGTGTTTGTCTAAGAATCCTCCTCGTTGTTTGAGTCACTTTGCAGGTTCTGAGCCTAAAAAGATGGATACGAAGCAAAACCAAAACTTTAGATTTGGGGCTGTTTGTTATCATCAGCAGCACTCATTATCTGCCTTGTACTGTCAGTGGCACTTGACAGAAAATGTCCATGTGAACATAGACATGAGAGGCAATATCCTGTGGCAGCAGAAGTTTGCAGGCAGCAGACACAGTTTGAGATGATAATTGAGCTATTGCCAACAGCTGCGTTTATGTATTTAAAGTACTGATTGTCGCTTCACCTAAAACTGACTTCCTCCTTTGCTCTCACGTGATACTTGACCGTGAGCATAATTTGTGAAGGAAAACTGCTGCTGAATATGATTTAAGCTTACCTGCATTACTTCACTCCTAGTGGTACTAGGAGCATTCAATTATTGTGTTTCAATTAAACATTTTTTTTTAATTCTTAAAATTAATTAATGTGGTAGCTAACAGTTATCTGAAGCTCTGGCTCAGGAAACAAGTGCCTACAGACAGTAACGTTTAAATAAATGGAGTTACTTAGGGCAAGCACAAGGCCTTTAATGTATCTTGTTGAAATAAAGCTTAAATGTATTTATTGTTGTTAGTAATTTGTCAAACCCTTGGTAATTTTTCTTTGTCAGTAACTGCCATTTTGCCTTATTATAGTTTTACAGAAAGGGCTTAAAGAAAACTTTGCTGATGCTCAAGTCTCTGTTGTAGACTGTCCTGATCTGACTCAGGAACCCTTCAACTTTCCTGCTAAAGGTAATCTAGCATTCCTGGCTTCAGCTAAGATTTCTGCAGTTCTTTCTACTGATCCTACTTGGTTTTGGTCGTCTAAAGATGATGGGAGAGTTTAAATTGTTTTTCAGGTAAAGAATATGCATGAGAGGAGAGCAACATTTCATTTCTGAATTTGCTTCCTTGTTGATGTATGAACAAGTCATTACCAAGTACTTGTCTTTATTTTTTTTTTAACCTATGATTGCAATACTCACTTGTTTCAACAGCTTTATTTAATGTACTGAAAAGGTTTTGAAAACAAGTTGTTATCTTCCACGTGGAGAAATTTTTCTAGATCCATGCCAATCATTGTGTGAACCTAAGGAGATGTGTTTCTCTTAATTTTCAAATTCCTGCCATTCCTGTGTATCAAAGTGAAACTGTCTTATTCTGAGTGGGATTCATCTTCTTTGACATTAGCTGTCTGGAAGACAGACATGTCATCTTTGCTGCTCACCTGAGTTCCCTCTGTCACCAACATAGTGGAAGAAACACCTCTAGAAGGTGATTCATCCTTCCTTAAAATACATGTCCAAATAAGTGGGATGAGTTGTCCTGGGACTTGGGCATCCAGCTTTGCTCAAATTTTGCAAGTGGAGTCCCACTGGGGGTATCCACTGTGTGGTGAGAGCATCTTACTGGCAAATGGCAGCTTTTGTCCACTGTAATATGTTTTTTATGCTTAGAGAATGTCAATTTTATAACAGGTTGCTTAGCATTAAATCCTACTGTGAATCATTTTAGATGTCCTTGGACTTCTTAACAGTGCAACACTTTATGTAAGCATGCTAGGGAAACAGTGTTCTCAAGGGATTTCAGACATTTGAGGAACCAGTTCATTGGTGGTTAGACTGCATTGCTCATTTAAGATTATTACAAAAAAAACCAAAACATTTTACCAGGCTAACTGGCTGTATTCTTCCAGGAATCTGTGGAAAGCCGAGAATAGCAGATGTGGGAGGTGTTCCTTACCTCATACCTGTTGTACAGAAAGAAAAAGTGAGTTTCTCCTGTAGCTGCGGGGTTTAATACAGTTGTCAAAAGAAAAGCAATACCTTTTTGAAACATAAACAAAGTCAACAGATACTATAGGGTTCCACTTGTGAAAGAGAGTTACTTTTCAGTGTTTTACGAGGTTGAGTATGACTCCTTACAGGCAGACTATATCAGGAAATCTGACACATTGTAGCCAAAATAGCATATTGTGGTGATGGCTCAGCCTCTTGCCCTCAACTACAAGGTAGTTTTGGAAACATACTGCCTGTGACAGGGGCCATGGAAGGAAGTACTGAACAAGGGCCTTGTCTGCATGTTTATATATGGCTTGGTGCATGCCTGTGATTTCAAGTCACAGCCATGTTTCTTTGTAAAAACTGGCTGTATTTGCACTTTCAGGCCAACACTGGATTCACATTACTGTCCTTTTCCAAGAATCTTATGCTTCTATTCTGACACCTCGCCCTGCCTGTCTCTATAGGATACTCCCTTCCACTTTTTATTTTACAAAAATACAAATTTCAGTAAGAACAATAATCCACTTTTTGGGGATTGGTAATGGCAGGGGAACAGACAGACAGACTCTAAGAAGTCTAATGGACATGTACCAAATTTGTTACTACCAAATGTTGTGTTGTCCAGAAACTCTGTTCAGCCTAATTATCCAAAATACTTTTGAAGGCCTGGTGAATTAAATGCATCCAGAGGTTACGGTGAACAGAATGGTAATTCTGAATCAGAGCACCTCACCAAAATCAATGGATTGTTTCTCTTTTGCAGGTTTACGATCTAAATACAGTTGCAAAAGACATAGAACTGCCTGGAGCTTTCATTCTTGGAGCTGGAGCTGCTTCATCTAAGATCCTTGGAGTAAATGCTGAGGTCAGTAAAAAAGTGTGATGGTTCTCAATGAATTCATGGAAGTGTCGTTACAGTGGAGTAGTGTCACGCTGGGTATTACCCATTTACAACAAAACATTTAATAAACACCATTCCTGCCAAAAACACACACAAAAAAAAACAGTTCAGAAGCAATTCATATGAGGGCCATCCAAGGAAATGCATACTATTGAGATAATCAAAATTAATTTTTAACTTGTAATTCTCCAAGAAGCACATGAACCCTCTGAAGCATGCAAGGAACATGATTTTTTGAAACTGATTGACAAAGACCTGAGCAGAGGTTTTAATGATAAGAGTTAGAAATGCTTGTCAAAGTTACTGGAAAATGCCTTTGAAGCATTCCCTGCCTTCTGCTCTCTTGGATGGCTTTGTATTACCATTGTATATTTTACAGATGCCATATATAAAATGATCACCTGCTGGAGGAGTGGGAGGCAAACACTACTGCCTGTGGACACTTCAGTTAGTCAAGAATTTGAAGAATTTTCAAGTATAAACCTCTGATCTTGCCATTTCCTTATGAAACATTTTTTAGCAGATGAGATCATCCATCTTGGCACCTTGGCATTAAATCTGAGCCACTATAATAGTGGCTGTTACTGTACACTGAGAAAGTATTACATAGAATTCCAGTACTTGCATGCAGGCCCCAGGTCTAAATAGTTAAGATTTTTTTTTTCCCCCTAACAATAGCATTCATCTTTGCATAACATTAAATTTAACTGTTCAGAAAAAGTACAACTGTTTGCTGGAGCTCTGAATTACATTACAGTATTGTTGTATCCTTACCAGTACAGACCTCATCCTGAGAGACGGAGCTGTGTGACAAAGGGGATTATTTCTTGGGATCATCCTCCAAAGTTAAATTGCATTTATGTGAATTCTGTTAACTTGACTCTTACATGTTCTTTTTCTCAGCTTATCCCTATTGTTCAATCCAAGAGTGAAAAAAAGCCTGCTGTAAATGGGAGCTATGTTGCTCAGATAAATCCTGCAGATAAAGGGTGCCTGCTTGAGAAGTACAGCAGTAAATACACTGACTGTGAGTTTGGGCTGTTGGCCAACCTTTATGCCAGTGAAGGCCAGCCTGGTAAGGTGCGTACTTGGATCAAAGGTAACTTTGCTTGTAGAGCTTTGTGGCTGAAGAGAAACTCATGGTTCAGCCTTGTCCTACCAGTTTTCTGTGATAACAGGAAAGTAGTAATTCCACAAAAGAAATACTGAAACATGAGGAGCTGATGCTGGTGAACGAGGGGGAGAACTGGTGGAGACAGTGAGGCATTTGAATTTTTGAGGGATAAGTGTTGGTTTACTAAAACTTTTCTGTGATAAATCATCCATCCAAATGCAGTCCCAGCTAGCACTGATTTAAGGTAATGGTTGTACAATGTACTTGTGTAAATCAGGTCTGGGTATTTGTCTGTTTTTTTGTAGAAGTGCTTCCCCCAACACAGCTAGCACAAAGGGGCGTGGCAGAGCAGTCAAAAACCTGAGTACTGGAGCAGTCTCCTGTCTCAGACAGTTTCTTAGTAACAGAGTGGAAGGCAGCTGGTGGACAGAAAGGGGATGCTTCTATCATTGTCTCATGTATGAGTAAATGACTTGCTGCCCAGCACCCTTCCCAGGTCAAGCTAGCGTTCAGCAAAAAGGCAGGGCAAGAGAGCTGTTCAGGCACTGGAAGGATGCAAGTGGAGCTGCACTTCCAGGGAAACTCACATTTCCAAAAAGTAATCTTGGCAGAATTTCAGAGCAGCATTCACAGACCTTTGCAGACTGTTGCAGTGGGAGACAGCGGTGACAAATTAACTTTATTCTCCAGGTCATTGAAGTGAAAGCCAATGGAAGAACTGGGGAACTGAACTTTGTGTCTTGTCTGAGACAAATTTTAGAGAAGCACTATGGAGAAAAGCCAGTTGGGATGGGCGGTACCTTTATCATCCAGAAGGGGAAAGCAAAGATTCATATTATGGTAAGCTGTTCTCAATTCTTAGAACTTTCTTCATCCTTCTGGAAACAGAAATGTAAATCAGGGTGTAACATCTTAGAGCCTTGGCTTTGCTTTGTATTTTTCAATGTATGCATAAGCCACTAGGACAAGCAGTGTGTTAAAGAGGCTGACGTTGCAAAACTGACATTACAAAACTAGTGATGCTGTTATTACTGGTCCTCGCTACCATCATCTTCTCTTTGGAAACCCACAAGCAGCTAAAGAACAGTAGAACAATTGTAGAATTATTTGAAATTAAATACATGAACTGAGATCATATTGTAGGAAGCAACAGACTTTTTAAAAATAACCAACCTTCTAAAATGTACCAAGAGGAGAATCCTCATTTCAGTAGTTCTCCCATTACCTGTACAATGAAAGAAGCAATGTTCTAGTCACTTCTGTTACTGGTAGAAACACCATGGTGGGCACCAGTGAGCTTCTTTTAAGCAAGAAGGAATGTGAATGGAATAGTGGGGAGGGGAAAAGTGAGGGAAAGTTGCTAGAGAAGATGTATATTCAAGTGCATCTGGGTCGAGGCAATCCCAGG